ATACTGCCATAGGAAGGGATAAATAATATTATAACCAAATCAATAGATTTGTGTGAGACGGAATTTTTGATCTCACAATGTAAATATTATTTAGAATTAGTAATTAGTTAATAAGCATATTATTGGAGAATAGAATAGCACAAATTACATTATTTGTACTGCCTCAAGAGGTATAAATACACTTGGTTTTAGACCAAGTTAAATGTAATCTTCATAATAATCAACTAATAACTCCTAACACTCTAATAAATATATAACCTTTACATAAAATAGTTTTTGACCATATTAACTACTAACCTAGTGTGATTGATTCCCAGTTCTTTTAATGATTAATGGTTTGGCCAACCCTTAATTATTAGTTGGGAACTCTTTTAATTATTAAACATATTGCCAAGGGGACACCTTTGGAATATAAATGGATACACCAACTTAGGGGTCTTTTATCTAGACTTCAAGTTGTAAGATAAAAGAGTTATTGGTTGTAATTCAGAGGCTTTAGGAAAACCAGACATGTGCCATAGGTAAGCTATCTAGATTAAGGCAAGTTAATGCTTGATTGTGGTGTGTACTGTATGTTTTCATTTTATGACACATTAGACTGGAATGCTCAGGAATAATTCATTGTGGATATAAAATTGCAGATCCTAAGTGGTGCTCTAAAGCAGATTATGATGAGATTCAGCTTACCTGCAAGCCACATGTTTCAATAGCTCCTATGGGAAACTGGACATTCACAAAATAAATACACACAGGGGTGCCATACACATGTTCATACAATAATAATGAAAAATCTTCTTAAACTGGTACTTCTTTTGTTTAATATCTACTCTTTTGTTTGCCTTTTGTTTCTTATTATTGTTATAAGTATAGGTTCACTCAATTTAGTTTTCAATAATATTAATACAAGGTTTATCCATTTGTTAAGTAGTTTTTTTTCCATTTGCCATCAGTAATAAGATTGTATATCCAAATAATGCTTCGATTCAGCTTGGAATAGATTCAGAAAGTATATATGGAGTTTATGTTATTCACACTTGTTTTAAAGAACTTTTTTCTGGTTTAGAAAATGAAATATTATATAAGCCGTGAGTATTTTTGTAACTTTTAAACAGTAAAATGTGTTGTTTTGTTACATATTATATACTTGATAATGTTGAAATTCCTTCTGATTAAAGAGGTGAAGTGATTCTATCATCTGTTGAAATATCACAGAGATGAAGAAAAGCAACTAATCATTATGAGCAAAAGGCTGATGGTGTATTTTTAATGTGTTTAAATAACTGTTTGTTAGAAGTTGGCCATCTTGAGATAAGTGGGGGTATGGTCATCAAGAGCCACCTAAGTCAACATGGGATCATGTTAAAGGGGCTGTTGGTGCAACCACCAAGTGTCACACAAGTTCCGTACTTTAAGTGTTGGTTCATCATTAATCTCCTGCATCAATTTTAACAAATTTTGACTTATGTGACTTAGAAAATATGAATATATACTTTTTCATATTTTTGAAAATATTCTACTTCATCAGAAGCATTCCTTCTAGCTAAATGAGGTTGATGTGATATACAATGAATTGAGGACATAAAAGGATTGATTTTTTTTAACCTTGTAGCAACACCAGTTTGATTTCCTGTCATATTAGAAGCCACATCACTTCCAAAATGAATTATTTTGTGATGTGATATTTCATTTGAAGTACAAAATGATAGGATTTGATTATAAATATTACCTGCAGTGGTAGTTTCTAGATTAATCATAACCAAATATCTCATATAGGGAATATTATTAACAATATATTTTCCTACAATTGCTAAATATTTACTATCATCAATACTGTTAGCTTCATCAATCATTATACTCCAATAAATTGAGGAATTCAATTCTTCAAAAAGGGATTTTTTTATTACAGAGGCTATACTATCCAAAAAATCAATAATGGATTTAAAATTTGTATGGCTTCCATATGTTGATCTAGAAGTAGATGTTTCTTCTAAAGTAGCAGGTTTCAGAGTAGAAGTTTTTTCACTAATTGTTAATTGATTATTATTTTCAAACTGTAATGTCATTAATTTACATAATTCAGGATAAATATGAGAGTAAATTTATTTTGCTTAGATAAAAAATAAACATTTTCATTAATGAAATAATTGCTGTTTGTTTTTTATTTAATTCATTTGAAAGTTGTGATTCTGACATTTTTAAATGAATTAATTGTAATAAAAATTTGTGCTTTTTTAATTTAGATTTTTTATCAGTTTGAAACATAGAGTATCAAAAAACATCTTGTATTTATAGTATTTTATTGGAATTAATTATACCTGAAAACATTAATGATTTATTGTTAATAAATGGGTAATAAATAAAAGTATTTTGTTTATTTAGAATTATAACAGTAAACACCAATGATTTATTTTTGTAAAATAGTAATTTTACATATCACAGGGAAATCAATAAATAAATCGAAAATGATTTATGAAAGTTGCACACAAATAAAATCGATCAAGTATTCAAACCGGTACAAATTCATATTTTTATTCAATCACCAATAAAATAATTGACTCGCAGAAAATATCTCAAACAATGGAGAAATAAATATTCTAGCATTCTAAAATGTAACAAACCTTTAATTCTGAGATTTAATTTAAATGAAGGAATTTAAATGATTGGATCACTTTAGAAAATAATTCTAAAAGAAGGTTCAAGTAATACATTTAATAGAATAAATCAAGGTTTCAAAGAAATCGAGAACTAGATGATAGAACCTTTAACATGTATAAATAATGATGTAATTTTCTTAACTTCATGTAATCATCATAAAATATCATCATAATCATCTTTTAATCATCATAATAAATAACACCGTCCTTGACCTTGACCTTGTTGTCTTCAAATATTATATTTTATATTTGTCTCCATTATTTTTATTATTTTTTATTTCTTTTCTTTTCTTTTAATGAGGTAATATTTAATAAATTTTATTTAGTAGTTTTGGAGATGTACCTGACTTGGTAGCAAAGAGGAAAACGGCTAGAAGGACACCCACCAAAGAAACATGATCAGGATACATAGTGCAAAATCTAAAGAAGATATTGTTTAGTATTTCTTAGTATAAGAAATTGTTTAATGATGGTAAAAGATAGTTTTGAGATTAAAGCATTAATATACATTCGCGGAAATTGTTGTTATAATTTAGTATAAATAAATTGGAAGAAATTGTATTAACATTGTTGGCACATCATCCATCATAAATAAAATCTAGAGATTTGTGTGAGACGCGGATTTCGATCTCGCAGTATTCAAAAAAAAAAATAATAATTTATTAAAAAATCAATAATAAATAAAAGTATTTTGTTTATTTTTGCATTCAAAAAAATAGAATTATAACTGAAATCATCAATGATTTATTGTTAATAAAAAAGGAAAGTATGTATACCTGAAGACATCAGCAATTTATTAACAAAAAATGGAATTATCTATACTTTGTTGCACAAATTTTTCTGCACAATTAAATTATTGGCCAGATTAAATGTAACGCACTCAATTTCCAACACTGGACGTGCTAGTGAACTTTTATATAATAACATGTTACTTCTAACAAATTTTAAAACGAGTATATAGCAAGATTGGAGTAAGTTTTCGATTGTTTTAGAACACTTAATTGACGATCCGTCTATGAATCAGTGAAAATTGACCGAAAAAAAACTAATCGGTAACCTTTTATAAAAAGAGTTACTATACTTTTGTCTTGCAAGATAAATTTTTTTTGTGTACATTAATAAAATAAATCTCAGAGAACATATTTATATGTATTTTTTATTGACTTTTAATTATGTAAAAAAAAATTTTTTTTTCTCTTTATGATGTGTTGATTTTTAGAATTTTGTTATTGAAAAAAATCTGATTTTTGTAAAATTTATTATTTCTTACTATTACGTTGATACGTATATTATAAATAAAAAAATGCTTGTAATAATAATTCCACAAATATGTATTTATGCTTTATCTATCTATGTTTCATTCTATGTCTGACTAGAGTCACTCTCTAATAAATCGATAAATAAAGCAAAAATATCAACAAAAAAACTTTGTTAATATTAAAAATAAAGGCAGAAAAATCATGTCATTAAATTGATTCATTAGAATTCATAGACGGATCATCAATTAATATTATTTCTCTTTTTTCTTTTAATGTCGATATATTTTTCACTTTAATATGTTGTAATTTATTTATAAAACTATACATAAAGCGAAGTTTCTTTCGATAAACCGATATTATTTGTCTTATTGAGTTATATGTGTGTGGAACCCTCGTCTTAACATTTAAGTGAAACAATAGGAATATTCGTCATATTGAGTTGATTTTATTGATGAATGAATAGGGAAACTAGAAAAACTTCGTTATAACAAAAATTCGTTTTATCGAGTTACGTCTTATCGAGTTCTGACTGTAGACATGTGGAAAATTTTTGTTTTGAATAGTTTGTGTTACAAATTTCGGTGTGTAACTGGTGCAATTTCTACAAATTTAGATATCATCTGCAGAAAATCACTAATGTGTAGTTATCACTGTGCTATATCATGGGATTTCGAGAACTTTATTCCCTCTTTTCCTCTTGTAGTTTAACATTCACCTTCATATATCATTTAAGATAAACATTCAATTCAATTCGATTCAATTTAATTCAAAAAAGCATGAATTTTTATGTAACAACAATAAATAATATTTTGAAACGTCAAAGTAATAATGTTCTTCCAAATTCCAAAAAACTTGCATTCACTTCTTTAATGAAAAGTTTTCATTGTTCTGCTAATTTAAGAAATGTTTCTCCTGCAACGAATTCTTCACAAATACATATATTACTTCTTGGTAGTCCGGTATGTTACGTTAGAAGCATGCGCATTGTTTATAAATCTTTTGTTTGATAAATTCAATGAATTAAATACCAATTCGCAACAGATGTTTTATAATTTAAAAATTTTGGTTTTTTATAATGCATGTCCATTATTGGTTTAAAAGGGGTCAGGAAAAGGAACCCAATCATCTAGAATAAAAAAAAATTTTAACATTTCTACTATTTCAAGTGGTGACATTCTTCGTCAGAATATAGCCCATGGCACAAAAATTGGTGAAATTGCTGGAAAAGAAATTGAACGTGGAGGTGAGAGATAGTACACAAGATTATATACACAACAGCAATAAATAATTTATTAGATATGTATGCACATTTTCGTCCTTCTTAACAATATTGACTTATATATTTATGTATTTATAAACTCTTAGCATATGTTTCTGATGATATTATGATTGAACTTATAACCAATGAACTTTCTACTCTTAAAAATGAGGTATATTTGATCAATAATATCGTTCAGTTGTCTTATTTCACGATAATGTTATTTATATATATTTGTTTAACTTAAAAAAAAAAAATAAGAATTGGCTGTTAGATGGATTTCCGAGGACCATAAATCAAGCAATTGCTTTAGACAATGACTTAATCTTAAATAATCAGCCATTGAATATGGTTATTAATCTTCATGTGCCTGAAGAAGTTATTTTGCAGAGAATAATCGGTATGCATATAATAACAATAACAGCAACAATGATGTTTCAATAATAACTGATCATATACTTTATTATATTTTTTTCTTCAATTAAATTAAGATCGATGGGTTCATATATCTTCAGGACGTGTATATAATTTAAGTTATAATCCGCCAAAAATACCTGGATTAGACGACGTTACACGTGAAAGATTATCCAAACGTCCAGATGACAATCCAGTGTGTTGTTATTATATTTTTTTGAAATAAAAATAAATTATTTAATAATGTTGTTAATAATTTTTCTTATTTATATTTGCAGGAAGTATTTAAGATCCGGCTTCAAAAATATCATGAGTTAACAGAGCCTTTGCTGGAATATTATTCAAAACGTAACATATTGACAACATGTAGTGGATGTACAAGTGATGAAATTTATCCAAAAATTAAATATGAACTTATTAATAGATTTGGGATTGGTCATTTAATCAAAGAAAAGCTTCCCGAAGATGAAAATGTTTTAGATGCTGTTAATTTAAATTGAAGAGGAAAAAATCATATATATATATTAATATATTGATTATTGGATTTATTGTATTGTATATAGGGGACACGATAAGCATTTTTTTTTACAAATAAATTTATAATAAATAAGCTATAATTACATTATGAATGATTAATAAATTCTAATTACAGCAAGTAAATAAATAAATAAATTATTATAATTATATGAATTACATTAAAAAAATCTTTGCTATTTTCAAAGTCAATTAAAAAGGAAAGAAATGGGATCAATTAATTTTACTAAAAATAGTAGGTTTTCCTGTATATTCACCCGCCTCTTTGCTTTTGGCTTTAAAGTTTTCCATAATTTCTTTAACTTGTGATCTATCTAAATCATCTCTTTTGGATAGTATATCTTCAATAAGTTTTAATGGAACATCACCATATGCTTTTTTCAGATCATAATAATCAATAAATATTGTTTTACGTGAACTTTCTAATAATGTATGAATCCTGCTTAATGCATTGAATATCACTTTGTATTGTTGTGCCGGGATAACCTGTTGAAAAAATTCAAATGCCAATGTATCATCATTTTTTATTCGTGTAATACAATCTGGTTTCTTGAACTTGGCTCCTTTATTACGCATTGCTTCAATATTCGCTATGACAAATCTTTCTCCTAAACTTAACATTGTCTTATTAAGAAGATATGGGTGCATACGTGTTTGAAAATCATTTGCGTAATCTTTAATTGTTTCAATAATTACCAACATAAAAGTGTTCTGATACCAATCCTCCAAATAAAATTGATTAAAAAGTTTCTTTAAATCGTTATATACAACATCTACCAATGTGCTAATACAACTATCTGATATTCCCATAAATCCATCCATTGCTAAACGTAGATTATCATTTATCTGATTTCGATATTTTTCTGAAAGTAAAGGCTCTAATCTTTTTACCACATCTTCAGTAAATTCTGCGCATCTTAACTGATCATTAGCTAAAGCAATGCAATATTCAACAAAACCTTCTTGAGTTTCCTCTGGTTTTTCAATATGTTTTTTAAGTTCTGTTACTAACAAACTTTTCCATGTATTTTGTGTATCAATCATTGCTGTACTACACTCCTTCACCACATCTGCTAAAATTTTACCCTGTCCTGATTCTGCCGCAACATCTATTTGTTGATTAACCATTTGAAACATAATCACTGAACCAGACAAACAAAACAAATTATTTGCACCAACTTCTGGCTCTTTGACACGATTAGTAAATTCACTAATTTCTGTGCTCATTAAATTTGTTATCCATTCATCAAGTCTGATACGTATCAATTTAAGATAGTCATTTACCAGGTCCTGTTCATTTCCATCAAGTAATGGCGGTTCTAAAATATCTTCAGAAATGCGCATCTCTTTATTCATTTTTTTGTAATATTGCCTGATCCAATTGATTAGACGTAGGATAGTACCTGCATCGGGATCTGATTGAACAAGTTTATTAAGCATGTCATATACATGTCTGTGATATGCTAAAACAAAAACTGAGAATATGCCATATTTTTTAGGAAAAAGTGGAACTATTTCTTGATCTACCAATGCTAAATCATTGAATATAAAGTTCATCTCTTCTAATAAAGTCATAGGTTCATTTTGAAATTCATTGTAAAATGCTTCAAATAACTCTGAAATCGAATCATTTAATTTATCTTTAAATTTGCTCCTATAAGACCTAATAACTCGTGGGCTAGTTTGAATAGATTTGAATTTAGAAGCGAGATCTTGATAACTATGCCTTGCATGTTCAGCTGCAGTTGCACGTTCATCCGTACGTTCCTCTATTTCAATTATTTTAACAAGTTTAACTATCACAGGCCTTCTACCGTTTCTAACCAATTCTATCATATTCTTTGCAATATTCCAAATATAATCCTCAAAATCTAAAACTAATTCGTCCAACTTTTTAAAATATTGTTTCAAAGTAATAACATCATCTTCTTGAGAAGAATTGTTTGCTTGATACATTGTATAATCTCGAAATCTTTGAAGTTGAAAAATTTGATAATGGACAAATAATAAATTTTCTGCTGGTCCGAGTATATTTTGTTTGTCTTGTTGCAACATATTTTGAATTTGTTCAACTACTACATACATTTCTTGTAATTTTTGAACAGTTTCTTGCGTTGCAACAAAGTTCTTATGTATTTGTGAAATCTGGTTTTTTTTCGAAAAGAATACAACAATATAATAATATTTACTAAAATGTATAAATAATGTGTATATATATATATTCAAACATTTTTACCTTATTAATCCTAGGAAAATCTTGAATCATATTTTGTGCCTCCGAACATAAACGATCAATCGTTTTCATATTTTCCCTAATAGTAAGCATTTTTTTTTTTGCATTTGTTAAGGCATCAACTCCTTCTTGAGTAGTGTCCAATTGTAATTTAACACCAGTTTTAAGTTGTGCATCAATGGAAGCCTTTTCTATAGCGAATCTTTTACGTATCAAGCTAGTTTTAACCAAATCGTCTGGAGATCTTAAAAGCTCTGTAATTCGAGCAATTGCTGCATCAACAGCATCACTAGAAGATTCCATTAATTTGGAAGTTTTAGTATTCATTTTTTTTTAAAAAAATTTTGTGTAATTAATCAATCATATGCTCCTCACATACGATTTTGTCACAATAATTCATATATATTAATATATACAACTCTAAATTTTATTATCTTTGCAATGAAATACACATAGGAATGTAATTTCCAAAGTAACTTTTATTTGAGGTATTTATAAATTTTAAACCAGTTAAACAAAATTTTCAGTGGGTGAAATTAATTGTTATCACATATCATATAATGTGATCAATTTTCTTAGATATCACTTAACTTTGATGAATAACGAAAATGAATCAACCTAATACTTCAACATCAGCTACAATAACAGATGATGATTTAACGAATTCATTTTACCAAATTATGGTTTTTCAGCACCTACGAATCTTCATTTGGTTGATAAACCTTTTAGAAACCTACATTATAAAACATCAAAAAAATTAAAAAGCCTTGAGCAAATATTAGCAGCTGAAAGAAACCAAAATGCCACTTTGAATGTTCCAACTTGTAAGTTCGATTTCTTTTTATTAATGATTATTGGAATTAAGAATAATAAAAATTGTTAAATATTGCAGATTCTAATATAGAAGCACCACCTTCAATATTTCCACAAAAGAAGTACTGTGATTTAACAGGATTAGAAGTAAATATAGTGTTCCTATAATTAACATTAACATAATAAAATAATTGGCTCCTGGTGTTGTTCAAGAATATTCAAGGTTGAGAAATGCTTGCTGTTGTCTTGAGGTAATGATAATATATAAAAAACACATAATAATAGTAATTTTTTTGATTAATTTATAATCAATCCAAAAAAGAATTTCACATTAATATTAGTGTTACTTAAAATTATCAAAACTGCAATGATTGATGTAAATCTTACCAATAAAATAACCTTATCTAACAATTTGCAATTCAAAGTTTTTTTTATTGAAAAGTTGTTAAAGTTGTTAATTTGAACGCATTCTTTAAACATCTTTGAAAAAAAAACCACAAAATGTCTGATTCAGAAATCGATCTTCCAAAGGATGCTGCTGCTTATCTTAAGAAATTGCAGGAGAGACCACTTGTGATCCCTGAAATTGATTTCACTGTTTACGAAATTGGTGATGGTAATAGGGTTTCTACCCTGGAACGATATTGCAAAGGTTTGTTCACTAAGCATTAAAAAAAGTAGTGATTCCAATGAATTGTGTGTGTGTATATATATGTAAATAGTTACTTGACAATACGAAAAAGCTTAATGGTGTTCAGTTTCAACTCTATCCTTTTCAACAGAACTTTTTTAAGTGTTCACATTTGATACAACAAATATATAAATATTAGGAACTATGTTGCCATCAGACCTTAAACAAGTTTTGGAATATCTTTCATTAATTTCATCATTCAACTTGTATTTAATTATTCGCTCACTCAGACGTTCAAGCTCCCGCTGTTCAAAAACCAACACCTGAAGAATTCTTTTCAGAAGCAGATCCTTCCAAACCCGATATCGCATTTTTGAAGAATCATTTTTATCGTGAAGGAAGAATCACAGAAGAACAAGCTTTGTTTATCATTAACAAAGGGACTGAAATATTAAAGCAAGAACCAAATTTACTAGAAGTTGATGCTCCAATAACCGGTACTTAAATAAATCTTTATTATCATTATCATCATTGTTGTTGTTGCTGTTATTAATGTTGTTATTATTATTTACATATTTATTTAATAATTATTTATTAACATATATTTAACTTTAATAATATAGTCTGTGGTGATATTCATGGTCAATACTATGATTTGATGAAATTATTTGAAGTTGGCGGTAATCCTGCCGAAACACGCTACCTCTTCCTCGGTGATTATGTTGATAGAGGTTATTTTTCCATCGAGGTCTGTAAATAATTATAATGATAATATTAATAATTATTATTGAAAAAAAAATTTATATATTGTTATTATTTATTTGCTGTCATCCAGTGTGTTCTTTATTTATGGGCATTAAAAATATGGTACCCAAATACATTATTTTTATTGCGTGGTAACCATGAATGTCGTCACTTGACAGATTATTTCACTTTCAAATTGGAATGTAAGTATATTATTATATTACAAAATTTCTTTTACCCAGACGAAGTTACTTTTGATTAAAATATTTCTGATTGTTTTATTCCTGTATATATATATATATATAGGTAAACATAAATATTCTGAACAGGTATATGAGGCATGCATGGAATCATTTTGCGCTCTTCCGCTCGCCGCCATAATGAATAAACAATTTCTTTGTATTCATGGTGGTTTATCACCAGATTTGGTTACTTTAGATGATTTGCGTTCTGTAAGTAGATTGATTGTTCATACCTGAATTTAAATTTTTCGAATAATTTTTAACAATTTTATTATCGTTGTTACTATCATTATTGTAATGAACATTTTTGACTTTGATAGATTAATAGATTTAGAGAACCTCCAACAAATGGGTTAATGTGTGACTTATTGTGGGCTGATCCATTAGAAGAATTTGGACAAGAAAAAACAAATGAAGGTTTTATACATAATCATGTTAGAGGATGTTCTTATTTCTTTAGGTATAATCAATTTGCTTGAAAGTTTTTTTTTTTAAAATAAAAAAAAAATCTAACTTTTGAGGGAACCATATTAGTTATCTGGCAGCCTGCAACTTTTTAGAAAAAAACGGATTATTGTCTATAATCCGTGCTCATGAAGCTCAAGATGCGGGGTAATTATTAAAAAATTTTTTTTTTCCTTTTAAATCATAAATTTTAATCGACTTATTTTTTTAACAATGTTTCTTTTTATAGATATCGAATGTACCGAAAAACGAAATCTACCGGTTTTCCCTCTGTCATGACAATTTTTTCAGCTCCTAATTATTTAGATGTATATAATAATAAAGGTTTGATATAAATTGTTTTTTTGTTTATTTAAAAATTTATATATTTAGAAATATCTGATAACAAGGAAAATCTCCAATATATTGTATATTATATTATTAGCTGCCGTATTGAAATATGAAAACAATGTTATGAACATTCGTCAGTTTAATTGTACACCTCATCCATATTGGTTACCCAATTTCATGGATGTTTTTACCTGGTCTCTACCTTTTGTTGGTGAAAAAAGTATGAAGCAATATTATTTATAGATTATTATTTTATTATTAACAAATTTTTTAATACACTTTTTTTTTTAAAAAAAAATATAGTCACAGACATGTTGCTCGTCATTTTAAATATTTGTAGTAAAGAAGAATTAGATGATGAAGATCTTATATCAGAGCCTAGAACTCCAGGTAATAAACAACAATAAATGAAATTTGAAGTAATAACCGGATTTATAATATCATTATTAAAAAAATAATTACTGCCGGATCATTATGCGAATAAAAAGAAAAACAAATAAATTTATTATTTTATAATTTTTTACGTACAAAATAGAACAACAGCAACCTGTTGCTACTACCGCCGCCGCCGCCGCTGCTGATACTACTGAAAGACGTCAGGTTATCAAAAATAAAATTTTAGCAGTTGGTAAAATGGCCAGAGTTTTCTCAGTTCTAAGGTATCTATGTTTATTACTATTAAATTTATTATTATTATTATTATTATTACTATTATAATGATAGATACATGATTTAACCAATTATTATTTATTATTTGTTATTATTATTCTATTGTTCCAAATTAGAGAGGAATCCGAACGTGTAATGGAATTAAAGACCGTAACAGGTACTGGTAAATTACCATACGGTACATTGGCTTTAGGTGCTGAGGGTATTAAAAAAGGTAAATATATTATTATGTAATTATATATATTTATATTTATATTTATGAAATCAAACTAATTTATAAATCATATATAAAGCTATAAATTCATTTGAAGAAGCGCGTCGATCAGATATAGAAAATGAACGATTACCACCTACTCGAGAAGAGACAGATGCAGCAGAACAATTAAAAACACAAGCAGCAATCGCTGCAGCTGTAGAAGAAGTTAATAATGATCAAGAGCTTGCTGAAGTCGCGGATGTATTTGTTAAAGAAGATGAGAAAAGAAGAAGTTTAAAAGAAATAGTTTTTGCTAGTGCCTAGTTCACTTAATAAATAATTATTATGATTTTAATTATTTTCATTTATTTTCTTAATTTTCACATAAACTTATTCTTACCATTAATAATATAGAAAAATTATTTTAATTTTTTTTCTTTTTGGAATCTTTTTAATAACTTTATTATTTATTATTAATTTATTTTTATGAAAATTATAATTTTTTTATTTATTAACTTATATATATATATTAAAGAAAATTGTGTCTGTAAATTAATTTTTTACATGGTTGAGACAGTTATCACGGTGCAGGTTATCTATCTATACTCAAATTTGAAATATCATGTGATCCACATGTTGGATTTAATAATTTTCGTGTTTGTTGTTATTTATTATTATCTTTGTTTTTTTCCTTAATATTAAGTGATATATATATATATATAATTATCTCTATATAAAAATAGTTAATATGTAACTCATTTATATCAGATCTACCATGGAACCCAATAATTATAGTACTATGGAAGTATTCTGAAAAAGAAGCAATATGCTTTTTAAATTTTTCTAATGATAATTTAAATGCTTATCAACATGGATCTTTTTTTTTATGATTTATTGTATGGCTGCAAATCAAAACAATTTTCTTCCATCAACATAGTGGATTTTTTCCTCAGATGTTCTGATGCAGTAAGCACCATTTTGTCATTATTATTTTTTTTTGAAAGAAAATTTTGCTGATCACTTACATAAAAGTAAATTATTATGCTTTATGCCAAAAAATGTCTAATTATGCTCAATGTGTGTTTATGCCAAAAAATTAAGAATTATGCTCCAATTATGCGAAAGCATAATTCTGGGCACCCTAATAATCCCTCCCAATCATGTTTTTCTGATGCAGGAAAAATTAATCATAAAAAGGGAAGCAAAAGCTAGGGCTACCAGATGCCAACAACTTGTAGTCATCACAAAAAAAAGATTCAGTGTTGTTGCAGTTTGATTAATTTTATTGGTCTTTATGTAGATGTTGTAGTCAAAATTGCCATGACAAAAGAAAAAACTGATGATGAATCTGATGAATAATGATCAAGAACATTGAGCAATCAAATGTTGCTACATATATTTTAGCAGACAAGAATTTCAATTCATGATTCATAATTAATTTTGAGTATTTGGATCAAACCAGGTCAAACAAATCATTCAAATCAATTCTTATTCAATCAATAATTTGAATTAAGATTGATATGTAAAGCTCTGAATAAGCTGAGTTTGAGTCAACTTGAAATTTAATATAAAATCATAATTATAGAAGTTAAACTACAGTCAAGCCTCGTTTCAACGAATCAATAGGACACATAAGAAAATTGAATCTAAAATCGTTATACCAAATATTACTAATCACGTTTCAACGAATTGTAACGTCGAGTTAATATTAAAACTTTATTTTACAAGTTCGGGCTGAGTTCAAAAATAAAATAAACCAAACTAATAGCAAACAAGTAGCAATAAATAAAATTGATTATGTAAAAAAAAGATCAAATCAAGTATTCGATTATTTGAGGCTATCATTCATTGCCTAAAAAGAAAATTGGCTCGTTCGGAGCTATATTACGAATCACTCGAATAAGAAATTGTATTTACGGATAGAAACTCCATTACTATTTTATACGGATTTACTAATACTAATTACTATTACTATTACTATTACTATTACTATTACTAACAACCAAAATAATAAAAGTTTTTGTCGAAGCACATGTGATTTCAATTTAAATTTATTTTACTAAAGCAGTTTTTAAAAACTACACAAGAAATATTACTCTTTCAGGGAAGCTTTATTGCAACTTTTTAATCATTATATAAATCTCATAATAAGGATGAAACAGATCTCTGAAGAGGTTTCCGATGTTGCTCTTCAAAAAAGAACGGAAAGATCTATAAACTTTTTACTAATGTTGTTAATGGGAATGAAAAAATTAGCAAAAGAATCATATATTCTGCATCATTTCTATCAAAATCGACATTAATTATGTGATAGCTAAACTTTTAAGACCTTCCTTCTGTAAAGGAATATATCATACTGTATCTAGTCTGAGAAAGGTTTTCGTTAATTAAACTACGTGTGTTACAATTTTTCTAATACTTTTGCTGTACTGCGCCACAATACAGTACTCCCTCCCATCTTCTTCTCTTTGCTTGCGTAACATAATAACATAGATTATTATACGTACCGACCAGTTTTTATTATGACCATATCCCCGGATTGGAGCCTTACGAGGAAAACATGGATGTCGACGTGGATATAAGAGAAGGTCTTTCCTGAACACAATTACAATTTGGATGACGTAATACGCGTTTAGTTTGAAATTTGGTTTCACATACACGAAATATTATATTTTATTATTTACGAGAAAAAGGAAAAATATGTCTGAAAACTCATATCGTCGTAAAAAACAATCACAAAAAGATGCCGCCGAAGCCAGTAATAATAGTATACTTTCTTACTTGACACCGCGAGCTCCATTATCAAATATAACATTTCAGAATAATAACGACAACAACAAAAATCTTTCTACCAGGGAAACTGTAACTGACATTAACGAATCACCTCCAAGGAAAAGAATAAGACACGATAATTTCTTTACTCCTCAAACTCAAACTTCCCTTCCAATACTACAACATGAAAGAAATTCAATTATCAACAATAGTGACAATAATGATAAAATTGAAAATAAAATAACTTTTTTTACTAAAAAGACTGTTAAGCCATATATGGGATTGAATGCAGTAATAGCTTTATATAATAGAGAGGTTTACGGAAATCCAAGAGGTTATCTTCAAGCATCAAAAAAATGGAATTGTGTGTTTCTATGACATTTTCATTTATTTATTTTTAATCATTTAATCATTTAATAATTTAATAATTTAATCATTTAATTTTCATATTAAGCATCAACTCGTCACTTAATGAAAGATTTTTTAAACAACCAACAAGACGTATTCAGGTTCACGGGAGAACAAGGATTAGTTGCACCATTTGCTTGTTCATTTAATAATGGTATAACAGTAATAATAGGATAAATTTATGAATTTAATTATTTAATTATGAATTTTAATGTTTATTATTATAATATATATTTGTATACATATAAAGTTGCTCGTGAAAAAAAGTATCTAGCAGTAGCTGACGAGGAAGGAACAGTGGGATTAATTGACGCAAGATATGATAATACACTTGAAACCGGTATTTAAAAAAATCTATAATACATATATATATGTGCTAATAAAACATCATTTAAAGTAATCTATTAATATTGATCATTTGTTTTTAGAATGTGCTAGAGTTGGATTTCGTGCTCATGATAATGCTATTTTTGATATTATGTGGAGCCATGATGATAAGTCTTTGGTAATGTGATATATATATAAAAATCATAAATCATAAATCATAAATCATTAATCATTAATCAATAATCCATTTAATTTAAAGGTCACTGCCTCAGGTGATCAAACAGCGTGTTTATGGGATGTAGAGTCTCAACAATCTAAAGCAACGTTTTGTGGTCATACATGTAGTATTAAATCTATCAGCTATAGTGCTTTGGATCCATATTTATGGTCAACTGCTTCTAGAGATGGTAATATATTTATTTGGGACATAAGAACTGTAGGGCTTCAAAAATCCGAAACAATGTTATATAATCCAGCAATGAGTATACTATTTGCACATTCGCCAGAATCTTTTAGAAAAAAAAGAAAAACATATCCATTTCCTGTAAGAAGTAAGCCAACAAGTAGTGTTACTGGCGCACAATTTTTAAAACATGATGAAAATCTATTGGCATCTTCAGGGGCACTTGACAACATTATAAAATATTGGGACTTGAGAAAACTTTCTAATCTAAGACATGCAAATCCAGTTCAAGTATCCATTAGCGGAGCTACAGCAAGACGCCCTCATGGTAAAAATCCAGATCTATCTTTTCTTTAGATATTTTTTTTATATTTTGCTTTTGAAGATTTGATTTAAAACTATTAAAAAAAATAGGCATATCAACTTTATTAATAAATAATGATGGATCAAGATTATATGCAAATAGTACTGATAATTAGTAAGTTGCTTTTCTAAAAAAACTACAATATATCACACACACGTTAATCCTTCTTTATTAATTACCGACGTTTTTTAGTGTTTATATGTATGATGCACTGAATTTAGGTGCACCATTAACTCGATTCACCGCTCCAGATTTTCGATGTTCATCATTTTATGTTAGAATGGCAATATCACCTGATGATCAATATATTGCTTGTGGATCAACTGATAAGAATATTTATATATGGGAGGTTGATTATCCTGATGTAAGTCCAATTGTATTAAAGGGTCATGAAAATGAAGTTACAAGTTTAAGTTGGTCGAAAAACTTTGATACGGTAAGACCCAGCATGTTTGCTGTTTGTTATGCAATGTTGAAAAAGTTTTTAAAAAAAGGAAAAAATAGAGCATTTATTTATTTGATTTGGTTTTTTTTTTTAGATTTCTTCTTGTTCAGATGATACATTTTTAAGGATTTGGAGAATTAATCATTCAACAATTGAAAATATTTGACATTGAATTTATTTTATTTTTCAAAAAAAAAAAAAAAGAATTTTATACATATATATGATAATTCCATTAAGATTCTATCTTTTTTATTCCTCCTTTGTAAGCATAATTATAATAATATAATATAATAATAAATAATAAATTTAAATGATGTGTGGTCACATGATATTCCAATTTTATCTTCTTTGATGATCATTTTATTAATATTAATATATACTGTATATATTATGAATATACCAACCTTACCGCGCGAAGAAGTTATCGCATTAATCATTAGGTGAGCTATATAGTAAAGGAATAATATATAATATTTGTAAAGTTGGTTTTAATATTTTAATAATAAAAAATAATAATCAATTTATTAATTTATTTCATGTAAAAAAATAAAAATAAAATAAAAATAATAATTTAATGTGAAATATATATTGAATATTTATTTTTAAAATGATATTATTATATGTGATATGGAATTGATGTTTATGACGGGAGAAAAAGAAGGGTTTGTTTAATTTTTCATTAATTATGATTTTCAGATTTATTTATTAATTTTATAATAATAAACTTTTTTGAATAATCCAGGAATCATTTTTTTCTATATTAATATTATATATAATAATATTGCCTATGAATCTAGTCAATTATGTGAATATGGTTATACACAATTAGCTAAAGATATTGCAAAAGAAACAGATAGTCAAACCGATTTGACACCTAGTTCTAAATTATCAGAATTACTTTACATTGTAAAATTACAAGGTCAGTGTTCACATGCAAGTATAAATATATATGTGTGTTTATTATCTGATTGATTGATTTGTAAAAAATGGCTTGATTTTTTTTCTTTTAGATGAAGAAAATGATGAAGAAGAAATGAAACCATGTGAACCACCAATTGATGACGAGCCTGATAGTAGTAGCAGTGCTACTGAAGATGGAGTATTTCATTCCAAATATTTGACACACGTTGATTCAGACACTAGAAATAGTAGTATGTATCATAGTAATATCATTCAATTGATTCATAATGATATTATTATTATTATTCATTATTTAATTTTATTTTTAGTCCCTAAACCTGTTCCAATTTATTCAACTTGGTATATGACAACTCATAGAGCTGCTTCTACATGTGCTATTTTTAGTGGCGATGGTATTGAAAAATAATATTTGATTTATTATAATTATATATATAATAATAGAAAACTGAAATTTGTATGAAAACAGGAAAATATGCTGCAACTGGATCTGTTGATGCCTCACTTAAAGTTTTAGACACATCTAAAATGAATAGTCGCTCTGACGAAGATAGGCCAGTCATAAGAACATTATATGATCATCTTGGTGTAAATATTTGCTTATATATAATAATATCAACTATATTATTACTTCACTGATACTCATAAATAAATATATTATAGCCTGTTAATGATTTATCTTTTCATCCAAATGGGTTGGTACTTGCTTCTTGTTCTGACGATCAAAGCATTAAACTGTTTGATTTATCAAAACCAGGAGTTAAACGCTCATTCAGATATTTACAGGTATATGTATATTCTTTTTAATTTTAAAATTAATAAATAAACTAATCAATTGATAATTGATAACCATATTTCTTATTGTTAGGATACACATATAGTAAAATCCATAGCTTTTCATCCTTCAGGAGATTATATATTAGCAGGTTTTGTTGAAGACTTTTTGTGTTTTTTTTCACTTTTAAAATTCCAATTATTATTTTAAGCAATTTTTATTTTTAAATATATTAGGAACTGATAATGAATCTGTAAGAGTTTACGATGTGAAAAAATTTCAATGTTTTACAGCATCCACTTCGCCTTCTGATATTCATAAGGATGGAATAACAAAGGTTTTTTTTTTTTTGGGGAAAGAGAAACATATGCCAAATTTAAATTTTTTTTTAAAGAAAACTGTTCTAAATTTAACAAATAGGTTAGATTTTCTTCTAATGGATCCCAATTTGTTACATCTTCGCTTGATGGCAGTATAAAAATATGGGATACAATAAGTGGAAGGTGTATAAAAACTATTGAAAATGCTCATGATGATACACCAGTATCAAATGCAAAATTCTCTAAAACTGGAAAATTTATACTTTCTGGTGGAAAAGATTCAACTGCTAGATTATGGGATGCAAATACTGGGAAGTTGATTCTAAAATATGAAGGTGCTGTTCATAAGGTATTGTTATTGTTATTTTTATTTTTATTTTTAAATGATTTTAAATTGGGGTTTTTTAATTAATAATTTCTTGACCTTAGAACCAATCATTACAAACAACCTTTACATATAATGAAGATTATATTCTTGGTAGTGATGAAGTAAATTATAATATTATTTGTTGGGACTCACGTACGAGTCTTATACTTAAAAAATTGGGAGGTAAGTTAAAGTTGTATGATTTTTCTCTCATATTATAATATACTTTGGGATTTTAAATATTTTGATTTTTTTTATTAGGGCACACAAATATTGTAAGATGTATTGCAGCTTCACCAACTGAACCTGGTTTTATTAGTTGCGGGTAAATAATATATCTATTAAAATTGGTTTTTTCTTATGACATAAGGCTAATTTAATAAAATTTATTTTGGAAAAGTGATGATTTTCGCGTTAGGTAGTAAAATCTGTAATTTTTCAATTTCTTTTTGATTTTTTTTTTTTTTAAAAAACAAATTTAATTAAAATTTATAAATTTATAGATATTGGAATATAGATCGTTGATTTTCTTACATTGCATCACGTAGGTTTTTTTAAATAAGTTAATTATCATTGCTGCTGATGTTGTAATATTTTGTTGTTACTGCAAATAAAATAGCTATGAACCTGTGCACTCTAAAAAAGAATGTCATCTACCAAATTAATTTTAAAAATATATTAATATATTAATTAAATTGTTATTGTTTAAAAATCATAGTATTGTAAATGTTTAAGGATAGAGGTAGTAGATAGTAGAGGATTTGTATTTTTGTAAAGATTTTTTATTTTTATATATACATAATTTAATTTTTTTAAAAATTTTTTATTTCTAATTAATTAATTAATTAAATTTTTTTGTTTTGTTTGTAAGGAAAAATTTGAAAAAAAAAATTAAATCGCAACCCTTACGCATTATCTTGACTTAAGAGCAACCAAATGTATTTAAATCAAGTATCATTACTTAAAGGAAAAAACTATTTTAAGAAATAAAAATTCATTAATAAATAAATAAATAAATAAATATTATGGTTTGTTCTTAGAGATAAAAAATAAATAAATTATTAATATAGTTACTATATACTCAATATTTGAATTTTCGCTTATAGGAATCTAATTAAAAAAATTGATATTTTTTTAAATATTTACATTATTATTTAATAATTATTTCTGAATTTATTTCTTTCGATAACATTGATAAAATTTGTTTTGGATAGATTTTTATAACTATTAATATTAATAATCATTATAAAATTTAAAAGATTATGAAATATATATATAAATTACCTAAATGATGATTGTTTCAACGATTTAGAGGATCTGAAATTGGAGTTTTGCACTAGGGTAGAATAATGTTAGATAAAGAGAAATCTAAAAGATAACATCATTTTGATAGGCATGTCACATGTTAGAACAATATTAATATTAATATAAAACTGACATTGAATCATGTAACAAACATTTTGACTAAATAATAAATAAATAAGAGATTGCATCGTACTTCTTTTTTCCATGAGCATCAATTGCTGAGAATATTTGAAAAATGAATGTTGTTATTGCTGTTTTCATTGTCACTGTTGCAGTTGTTAGATTTTGATGTTTCACATATGTCAGTTATTATTTCAACACCGAAAGTTTTCATAACTTCAATATTTATTAAGCAACATTTCAAATAGAGTGGCTAATATTTGGGTAGAGAAAACAAAAAGTTTCTTGATGTACTAAAGTCAAATTGCTAATATAAATGATGGTGTTATATAATTATGACAATAATTTGGTACTTTATTATTTATTTTAATTACCTTGATCTTAATTTCATAAAGAGTATTTTGACTTACATATCAGTCATTTAACAAATTAAATTCATTCTTTTCATCATCAATTAAAAAGGTAGTCAGCCTAGACTCTTTTCTTGCGCCTCCAAAAAAATTTGTTCTATTTATTTTATTCAAAAGAATTTATAATTAATCAATTATTGATAATTCCTTTCTCCACCTTTTCAATTTATTTAAATAATGATGATGATAATTAATAATTATTTACTTGATCATAAGGCCACCATCAACAACATCATATGTGTAATATCAAAAGTTTTTAAAATAGAAATTAAAGAATCTAAATGAACTTTGAGTTGGATTCGGCCAGAAAACATTGTTGTTATAATCATAGCTTTCAAATATTTTAGAATTCCAAAGCACCGTTGTTAATTTTTTTAAGAAGATATGTTGATTGATTAATATGATTATGGCATGATAATGATCTTTAATATTTGAATAGAACCTTGAATATTATAAATGCTTGTACACTGAAAGTAACACCCTCTTCTACTACATCAATAATAACAAGTTCCTGTAAAATTTAATAAATAAATTAAAACTTACAGCTTTAAAAATTAGTTTATATTTGCTAATTATCTTACATTCTCTTTTATTTGTAATGCCTCTAAAGAGCATTTTAAATATGCACTCTGAACTATTTTTGATGAAAAAGTTTGAATGTCCTAAATACCTAAATATTATTTGGAAAGAGTTTTTCATCAAAAATTGATTTCGTGATCTGTCACATGATGATAAATTGAAAAATATCCGCTTAGACCAGCCATTTATGGTATGATGCCGATCATCTAAAGACATCCAATGTTGCGCCAAAATGTGGAAAATCTTTACTTTTAAGGAACCACATTTTTTCACTAATTTTAACTCTTGGAGGGTTTACAACAAATTGTCCCATTATCATATTTCTCTCTGTAAAATTGCATGAAGATGTTATAAGCTTATTAGTGCCTAAGAATGGGTCCTTCTGATAAAGCTGCCATTTGTGCAGTTAAGAAATATCATTCCCCCAGAAGAGTTACTGAATCTGTTTAATGACAGATTCTTGAATAATCTTTTTATTGATAGATTAGGTCTCTCATACTAAGTGTACCTGTAACCTATCTATATTAATATAGTTTACAAGGTCCTTTTGTAACAAATTAGAAAAGATTGGCTTTGGCAATATTTAGAAAGAATTGGTAACAATACTATCTCTCTTTGGAAATTTTCAAAAGGAAAGGAAAAATTGATCTCCAAAATTTTTTAAAATGTTCAAAGGTCATTTTTATAAATAAAAATAATATTGTTTGATTAAAATCAAGCCTTTTCCAAAATGTGAAGAAATATTTTCTCCCACTAAAAATTTGGATTAATCCATTATTGTTAAAGAAAAATCAATTAACCATTTTTGAAAAAGATTCTTTCCTGCTACTAAAAATACTAATAAGAGATTAGAAAAACAACAGTTTATTAATATTAATTAAAGAAATCAATCAAGCTTTTTTTGAAAACATGAAGAAAAAATATAACAATTCAGAATTGATTTTATTATTTATTATTATTATTATATTATTTCTAACCATGCCTTTTTGAAAGTTTAAAGACAATATTCAGAAATAATTTTATTATTTTTCTAATATTAAAAATGACCATGCCTTTTTTGAAATGTGAAGAAAAAACGTAACAATTTGGAAGTTAATTTATTATTATTATATTGAATCATGCCTTTTTTGAAAATGTGAAAAAAAAAATATTGTTGAAGGAATTAACAAAGCTTTCTTTGAAAAAGGTTTTCTTCTGCTTGCTTATTCTATTTGATGCAATGGAACTATTGGAATAGTGATGAAAATTTGTGATGAAGAGGATGTTGAGGTGGCCTTTACTATCTTGGCCAGCATAAGAAATGCTATTGTTCAAAGAGAAATGACTTATTTTGAAGTTTATGGTAAGAGAGCATCAAGGAACCAATTTTCTCTTCAGAATGCATTTGCTCTGGCTGTTCATAAAACTCAAGGATTGACCCTGTCACATGTAACATTGAACATTGAAAAAAGCATGTTGGCTGAAAGACAAGTTCATGTTGCCAATGAGTTGAGTTCCCTTATTATAGATCCTTTATTTGATTATTCTCAATTAAAATTTCCCAGTGAGATTTAGAGTATAAAAGATTAGAGGCTGTGAGCATTGATGGGTTGCAAAATCTAACAACATTGTAAAGAAAATATGCTTTGTAAAAAATTGAATGTAATTAATCATGATAATATGATAATTAATGCAACCTATTGTCTGGAATCTTTTTTTTGTTATATACGATCTTGCAATAAAATATGTTTGAATGGGACTTAAAAAGGCAATAAGGTGAAAGAGTATAACATTCTTTATCAATGGCATTATCAAAATTCATATGTTGCCATCTCAGAGATCATCATATTTTACATTTTTAAAGCAATTGCCACCTAAAGAGGCTTTATTCACCCCCCCAAAAAATTGTAAATATATTTACTACTTGGTGCTTAGTAATATGCACCTTGACAGAATGACCAAATGGACTTGCTATATGGAGCAAAGATTCTGGTAATTTACTGATCATATATTTTTTTTTTCTGGTAAATATCCATAGATCCATTGATATTCTGACTTCCAGGTATGCTATCAATTACAGATTCCACAATCAGTCTTTGGACATTTTGAATGTTTTTTGTCATTTCTTACAATAAGTATGGGAAAAATTCAATCTGAAAATAATTTCTTGATACCTGGACCATATAAAGGGATTTTTGAGTTAGGTAATTTTAATCATGGTAAAATTTCAGTCGTGCTTGATTTCATTAAAGGTAGTTAATAACCATTTTTGTGTTATATAATTTAGGTAATTAATACATCGAGGATATCAAACTTAACTTTAAAACTCTTTTGCAGTTTACTAATCAGGCATTATTATTTTACCAAATGCACCAAAAATCATATATATATATGCTTGTTATTGTTCATGTGCCACTTGAATTTTAATATAAATTATCTAATATAGCAAAAACATCATATTTAACTCTTCTAAATGTAAACATAAGAATTACCTGTTACCAGTACCAGTCCACTATCGTTTATAACTCTAATATATTAATATCTATGTATTACTATTAAATTTGGGTAATTTTGGTATTTAGAAACTTTTTTATGCCCAAAAAACAAATCTGCTGATATGTTTAAACTAAATTGGATTTTCAACACTGGTTGAATTTCCACAGTTCATAATTCCTTAAATTCATAATTTTTCAGGAACTAATGCCACTTATATTAAAAATTTATTTGATAATTTCATATTTATAGTAATAATAAAATCTCGATAATGAAATAATTCATGACTCTCTGACTTTTTGTATATGTCACCATATATGAAATCTCACTCTTTAAATTCATACAATAAGTAACCAATCCCATTCATTTTTCTGAAAATCCTATCCTTTTGTAGTAATAATAAAATCTTGATAATTGGATAAATTCATAAAATTTACTGTGCTGAACCTATGAATTTAACGAGCTTTGGCTGTACTATGTATTATATATATTGCATAATTTTTTGGCACCCGAGAGGGTGAGGTCTAGTACTATAGATAAAAATCCCAGATGGGGGCTCAGCATCTATATAAAAATAGCCACCTCCATTCATTATCAATATTAAATTAAAATTTTTTCTGCGTCATGAATTCAACGGTTACAACTAATTACGTGACTTTGAGGCAATTCAGAACTAACTAAAATCATCATATTAATATATTCTCCCATTCTTAAATTATTTTCTATGATTTGATTATTTCACTGGAGCTTTCCTTTCAATCTTTTTTTTTTATTCTTCCCAGTTAGTTATTTCTTCATTCCTTTTGATGCATATTTTCTCTTCATTAGTTAATTAGAAGTAGAGGTTGGCACCACGCAAAAATTCTTTGACCGGTTAATTAACCGTTAAAATTAAGAGTTAACCAGTTAACCGGTTTAATTTAGTCACGTGGAATTTTTTAACTGGTAAATTCAATCGTTCATTACTTACAAATAATCACGCGCCTGTTGAATTTTATTATTATACACTTAATAGATGCTAAATGATTACGGTCAAACCTCGCCACAGCGGATTCGTGGTTCCAGCCAAAAAAATCCGTTATTATTATTATGACAAAAAGTCCGCAGCGGCAAAATTGGTGATGATCGGGCAAAATTTTTTTAATAATACAAAGCTCCCTCTCTATACCGAACCCTCTGTCCATTATATGCATTTTTCTGCTTTTTGTTCATTATAGGAGAAATTAATTATAAAAAATTGAATCGGAGACGGGCGACAAAAGGGAAATTCGTTATAGAGAAATTTACTTAGTGTTTGCAATAAATTAATAAACTAAATACAGAAATAAATAAATGAATAAATGAATAATACATACGGAAATGGAAAATTATTTGTTGAAATAAGATGTAATATTTGGTTGTATTATCTAATAATTTCCTTGTTGAAGAAAATTGAAAGCTATCTCAAAGGAAATTACGGCATCTTTCGTTGAAACTTTAGACATAGTGTTACTCTCAACAACTATTATATTATTAACATCATTTTGAAATCTCTTCGACTATATTTCTTGAATTTTCAATTTCATTATTAGATATTTCATTTTCCAAAGGGAGAATTGCAGTTTTCCTCTATCAATTTTGGTAATTTGGAACCCAGGCTGAAACCTCCCAAGTTGCTGAATTTTCAGACCAGTTGCATACGCCAACTTTATTCTAGAGAAGCATAACACACAAATACTGATCCTCATCAGTGATCAACTGGTCTGGGAGGAAGTTAAGAGAAGTTTTGTCCAAAGCCTTCCCAACATGTATGTGGCCTTGCTTGTGGAAAAAAATTACATGGTTATGAGGCGTGTGAAAGCACCTTAATGCATGTTGGTGATAGTAAATTTTAATTAAATCTGGCACTTGCAATCAACATCAGATTTATTATTCATAGTTTTTTATGTGATTTCAATTTAAATTTATTTTACTAAAGCAGTTTTTAAAAACTACACAAGAAATATTACTCTTTCAGGGAAGCTTTATTGCAACTTTTTAATCATTATATAAATCTCATAATAAGGATGAAACAGATCTCTGAAGAGGTTTCCGATGTTGCTCTTCAAAAAAGAACGGAAAGATCTATAAACTTTTTACTAATGTTGTTAATGGGAATGAAAAAATTAGCAAAAGAATCATATATTCTGCATCATTTCTATCAAAATCGACATTAATTATGTGATAGCTAAACTTTTAAGACCTTCCTTCTGTAAAGGAATATATCATACTGTATCTAGTCTGAGAAAGGTTTTCGTTAATTAAACTACGTGTGTTACAATTTTTCTAATACTTTTGCTGTACTGCGCCACAATACAGTACTCCCTCCCATCTTCTTCTCTTTGCTTGCGTAACATAATAACATAGATTATTATACGTACCGACCAGTTTTTATTATGACCATATCCCCGGATTGGAGCCTTACGAGGAAAACATGGATGTCGACGTGGATATAAGAGAAGGTCTTTCCTGAACACAATTACAATTTGGATGACGTAATACGCGTTTAGTTTGAAATTTGGTTTCAATACCATCGCCACTAAAAATAGCACATGTAGAAGCAGCTCTATGAGTTGTCATATACCAAGTTGAATAAATT